ACATAGTTAAGCCAGTTGGACTAATATCTCTGCTGGCTCTATGAGAACTGCTGTGATGTCAGAAAAGCAATGAGCAGACAGAAGGTTTTCCCAGTATTTGCACTTATTTGCTCATAGTACCTTTCATTATTCTAATGAGGCTGCTAGGTGAAAATTTGTCAAGAAAAATATGTTTATGTATGAGACTTATAATTATCAGTCCATGTTAACAAGCACAACTGACAATTTACTTTTTGGTAAAATGAGTGAAGCCCCAAAACACTGCCAATAGTATTTTGCTGTTAATTAAAGTGGGACTTCCCCACCTAGCTGAGCTCATACCGCACAGCTAAAAATCTTGCATAACTTTGAAAGAGGCAGTGAGAATCGCCAGGTCAAAATAATAACAATGATGATGATGATGATGATGATGATGATGATGATGCACTAAAAAGACAACTCTCATTTTGTAGCTGTTTCAACAGATGAAGCCAGGAGGAGGCAGCCTACTGAAGACCCCCCTCTTCCAATTAGCCTTTTAGGTAGAGATTTCTCCTGATCTGTATTGGGATTGTATTTGAATTGTTTTAATTTATGTGTGTTTGCTGCCCTGGGCTCCTTTGTCAGGAAGTGCAGGAAATAAATTTAACAAATAATAAATATTTAAACACAGCAAAAAAACACAAATGTCCTAAAACTTTGCATTCCTTAGCACAGTTTCCTAACATCGCTGCCCACAAAACCAAACATTTTATTACAGAATTGTCCATGGAAAAATAATGACAGCAGATGATGAGCCAAAATGTCACAGAAACCCTTCTCTTCCCTCACTTGTGATTTCAATAGCTTTCCTGTGCCTCACGCAGAATGTTTGCGGTCACTATGTGGTTGAGATAGACCGCATGTTTTAAATAATATGAAATATTCTTTCTTAAAATTTTCAGGATTTCATAGCAAAACACTGCATTTGATCGCTCACCTAGCAAGGATTTTCTTTCCGCAGGATAAGCCAAAGGAGAGGTGACACCGGTGTTAAACCACTCTGCTTTCCACCCGCAAAGTACATGATGAGATATTTCCATGTGATCCATCACCTTTGCATTTGTTAGCTCTCTCTCAAGATGTTCATGAGGGAGTGCCAGAGCTTAATGGTACACAAGCTGCTGTTCTGACACATAATTACTCTTTCCCATTTCAGCAATGATACCTTTTGAGGTGCTCTAAGATCTACGATTGTCTGCTCTCACTGCATTTTGGCTGATGCGGCATTAAACTTTTCCTTCCTTGTCTGTACAACAACATAGTGCCTGTGGATGAACTTGTGCTGCAGATATGGGCCTTCAACTTCAAGTTTCTCAATTGTCTCCAAGTGTCAGAAACCAGGGCCAGCTCTGGGGCTGTGTGTTTCTGTGGCATCCTGTCCCTTAGCCGTGCCCCTCCCACCCTTGAAATGGGTGCATGATTTGCTCTCTCCGGTAGAATGAGGTGGCCACTCAGGCAGGAGGTGCTGGCGGGTGGGAAATGGCAGGTACTGGAGGGCAGAACTGTGTGTGCCCCATAGCCTGCCCTGCACCCTCTAAGCTTGCCTGGTTCCCTCAGGTGTAGTGGTAGATGTTGTCCCATTACCAACATCCTGAAGCTAGATTCAAGAGCTAGTCCATTGGACTCCTATACATGGAAAGGTGGTGTGGTGGGACATCATATTGTCCTTCCCTTCAGGCAGCAAAATCTCCTGGCCTTACATCCAATGGGAGCCTGCTCTCCATAGAGGGATGCAATGCCCCCCCCCCATAGTGCTGCAAAGAAGAGGAGAGAAAGAGCAGGAGACGTGCCTGGAGGAAGAAGAAAAAGCAGACAGCTGGGAAAGAAGAGGAGTGGCAGTGAGGAGATGGTGAAGGGTCTGATTCTGCTGCCTGGTGCTACCAGGCACGTCAGGAACCAGGACCAATGCAATTTATACAAACTCTCAGAAGAAAAACCAGTGCCTGAAATGTTTCTATATGCAGTTCCAAATACCCTCCGTGATCATTTTTTCCCATAAAATTCATAATATACAGAAAAACACTCATTTCAGAGACATGACTGCAGTAATCAAAGGATTTCTTCCAAGTTTACTCTCAGCCTCCCACTTTTCTATAGCAGTAGTTGAAATAATACATGATAGCCACAGATTGCAGTGCATCCCTGCACACTGTGATCCCTGGAATTATATCGTGGAACTCATTAGATTGGTTCCCCTCAGAACGCCTTTCAGATCATTTCTTCAGTCACTTCAGCATCAAGCCGTGCATACCTTTGATTGACTGGACATAGCCAGTGGTGTAGCAGTAACTTTTGAAGTGCAGGAACTCATCATGATAGCCACCCAAGCTCTGTCTCTGGAGAAGAGAAAATGGCAGGTGTATTGATGCATCTTTCTGTGTGTGTAAACACTCCCCACTTCCCTCACAAAAAATGCCCAATAGTATAATGCTGAATTTATTATGATAAGCAAACAGTCATTGAACACAGCTGTGGCAAAGGGTAGAGTGCTGGTTTGTAGGGATGGGCAAAGCGGTTGATTTGGTTTCTCTCCGTTTCTCATTTTTCCCATGTCCGCATTTCCATATCTGTTTGTGAATCCCGCCCTTCCAAAAAAAGTCCTCATGAAAATTCAGCAACCTTTTAGTGCAGATTTTGCTTTATATACACATTTTTGCACAGCAGTTTTCCTTTATGTAATGCATTTTTTGCATGCTATTTTTCACTAATCTATGCATTTCTTATGCTCACTTTACCTTTGTATATATGCGTTTTTGTACACATTGTGTAGCTAGAGAACTGCTGGAGAAGTGCACATTTCAAAGCATGGCTGTGTTTTGATTTGTATATTGTGAACTGAATAAAAAAAAAAATCCCATCCCTACTGGTTAGTGTGTTGAAATTGGACAGGGGAGACCTAGATTCATATCCCTCATCAACCGTGTGGGGTAACTCCAATCCTATGCACAGTTACCTGAGAGTAAGCTCCATTGAACTGCTGTGTAGGCTCAATCTGCACAAAATATTTAGTTTAAGCAAAATATATTCAGCTGCCTGATGAGCAACCTTTACATTTGAATGAGATATGCAATCAATCTTGAATTTTTTAAATTTATGTGCCACTCCATAATATTAAGTTCGTTGGATGGATTACAAGTCAAAAAAGAAAGACATGAAACTCAAAGTAAGACATAAAACAGTGATAAAAAAGAAACAACTGTATAAATACAACAAAACAGAATTCATTGCACCCTCAAAGTTAACAACAAATTTAATAAACAGAGGGCTAGGTATTTAAAAAGTCTAGGTATTTGGGGGGGAAATCTTCACTCAAATTGACAAGACCAGAAATGTGTTGGACTTTGAAGTAGGATAGAAGTATTTAAACTCTGCTTTGACTATTTCCTTCATTCTCTAACTTCCTTTATTCATTTGTCAGAGCAAGGCAAGTCCATCATTTACCCTGGAAATCTGGTAGATGACATCAGCATTCCAGCTCCCCTCTTCCCATCCCTCACTGTTCATGTTCCAGGACATTACTGAACATAGTGTGTTCCATTTATGGCAGAATGTATGGTTTAAACCATTCTGTCTCAATAAAACATCATGAACTCCACTCCTACTTCAGTACTTTCCTACACAGCAGTAACTTCTGCAAAATGAAGCATTCTCATCAATGGAAACAGGTCCTTGGAGTTTCTGGAGTTGTTTGTATGGATGTCAGCAAGGATACAAAGAACACCTGCATTGCAGAAAATTGGCATGAAAGGCTGACACAACTGAATGAGCAGGTTCTCAACATTTTCCAAAGCAAAGAATACTGTAGCCCAGGGGTGCCCAAACTTTTTTCAAAGAGGGCCAGATTTGAGGACCAAAGTTGTTGAGCTTTTTATATAATTTTATCCCAAATTATTGACCTTTTTTTTAGAACGCAGAGAGAGAACACAGAGAGAGTAAACTGACCGGAGGGCCAGATTAGGCCCCCAAAATGGACTTTGGACATGCCTGCTGTGGCCCAATGGGGATGGAATTATTAGGAAGAACCCAACTTATTGCAAAGGAGTTTTGATGTTAGGCTGATAATGATGCATGTATCCCTCTGTTTCAAGGCATTTGTCCTCTGCCTCCTTCTGGCAGTCCACATCTTGCCAAATTGACTCTCTGTGACTGGCCTTGCATGATGAAGTGTCAGATGGTTGCAAGGTTTTCTTGGCAGGTGCCCAGCATTCCTGATCAATTCACTTTCTTGCAATACTGCCTTGCATGGTGGCAGTGAAGTGCCGGCATCCGCTTCCACTTACATGCCTTTAGACGGCTGCAGAGACTAGTTTCTTGCTCGTTGTTTACAAGGTTGTAGTAATTATTCTCAGCACAGTGGTGGCAGGTAACCTCCTCTCTGTGGCTCAAAAAACTGTTTTCCACATGCACTATTTCATGAGTTATCACAGTTCCATATTTGTATGCCCATCATATTGGGAAACAGTAGCTACAGAATTAAGCCATGCCCCCCCCCCCCGCAGTTTTTCAGCTACCCAGAAATAAATGCAAACATTGGCCATGTCTGGACATCTACATTTAATGAGGACTTGCTGTAGATCCTGACTTTTAATGGGGACCTATTGTGACATCCTCTCTCACCTAAACTGCTTGAATTAGTCTGCAATGGGGGTTTTGACCTAATATCTTACATGTGTCTACATCATGGATTCTCCCCCTGCCAGACCAAATTTGGCCCACCAGATTTCCCCATTTGGCCCATGAAGCTATTTTCCCTCAAAATATGCCCAACCGCCCCACCCCTGTCATGTAAAAGTATGTGGCAGATACAGACATGCCTAGAAATCAGGATTGAGCTCCCCACATATCAGCAAATGAGGAAGGAATTCAATCCTCCTTGGCTGTATCTCCCTCCAACTTCCATGGGCCAACTTCAACAAGTGGGTGGGACAATGCCATTATGACATCAGATGATTGACATGTGGATGGTTCTACACATCTATCAAAGATGGTCCATGGCGAGGGGGAAGATAAAGATCCGGACTGCTGGGCCAGAAACCCTGCCATCAATGGTCTGCGACTTCTGGGTGTGAACTGCACATGATAATGTGCATCACAGACTGTGGGATTTATTTAAAACAAACAGAACCGTTGAGCCAATGATATAAGCAGACTGAAGGTGTAAAGTGTAAGAAAAGCCAAAAGAAGAATGTGCAATGCATTTTGTTTTTCTTCGCTGCCATGGTTTCAATTTTGCTGTAATGTCCCTGCCACTAATCTATCAAAAATTATTCTGATATCTATCCCCCTAAAGTGATATTTTCTTTATTCTTAAGTAAGGGTGGGAGTTTACCGCAAGATATCCACCCCAATTGACGATGAAAATATTCTTTCTTGACGTAGCTCAACAATACTGTGTCATCTACAACGCCTTCTTCAGACATTTGGGAACGGTTCTAAAAACAAAGACTGCACCAGAATGATCAAGAGACCAAAGTTGTTGTTTTTCAGAGAAGACCTCACAAACAACTGGACACAACATGTAGAGTTTACAAAGGAGAAAGTGCCAGAAAATAGCATTATGTGTTTTATGTTTCTATAGAATGAGGGGTGGGTGTTTGGTAGCAGCACAATTGCAGATGTATACTAGAAATGTGTTCCACGTCTTCTCTATAGGGCTCAGTTGTGGGCCTCTAGGGATTTTATTCTCTTGGAGATAGCCCCAAACAAATTATACAATAATTGCAGGTGTTCCCCCCTTACACACACACACACACACACACACACACACACACACACAGGTCTCTTCATAGGTATATAGATCTAAACTGACTATAACAACAATATAAATGGTTGCATATAGAAAATGTTAAACTTTTGGATAAAATTATCCTTACCAAGCCTTGCTATCTACTATGGGTAGTCTTAAGTAATCTTGGAAGTGGTTTGTTTCATCCTTTGAGGTAAAATTAGTTTTTTCAGAACTATATTTTATTTTATTTTATTTTATTTTATTCTTTTTCTATTCTTCTCCTGTTCTTCCTCCTGAAGCAGCCAAGGGTGGCAAACGGCAAGCAATAAAACAATTTTAAAAATTTTGTAAATACCCTTAAAACATCTTTAAACCAATTGCAGATGCAGATTTGGAAAGACCTGGGAAACTAGATGTACTGTAGATCAATTTGGGGATGGAGCTTGTTCAAAAAAATTTGAAGCACATTTTGTCTGATGTATCCCCTCAGGCAGTCCCATTATTTGTTAAAAGTATAATTTTTTTTTGCAGGGGGGGGAGAGTTTTGAGTCTTAGATAATTTCTACTGATACTGTGTTGTGCCGCTTCCACACTGGTAAACATGACTAAATATGTAAAAATGAATGTCCTGCGATCACATTACATACAATATAATAGATTGTTTGTTTAGCCCTTAGTCAAACAAAAACAAAACAAATCTGTCTTTGGACTATACCACTTCATCCCTCAAGCAAGGGGTGCATGCAATCAAATACTGATCCATTAAAAAAAACCAATTCTGCTTGCAGACGCTAGTGTATTAGGGTGGCGGCTAGGTTTGTACCCTTCCTGATATCTAATGTCCTGTGTGGAGGGATTTTTGTGGGCAGAGGAGCGTTCAGTCATGTGAACTCCCTGACCTCCCAGGCGCAGAATTGACACCTCAGTGAGAACCGAACCCCAGTCGGTGTCATTATGCCATCATTATTTCACTAATTATGTGGACTCTTCTATTGACCTAATCATTTGCAATGGCTCTAATGAGTTCTAAATCAATGCATTAAGAGTACTTAATGGTATGCACTGACACAACAGACTAACAAAAACTATGCAAATCACCAACTACTAAACTACCGTAATCATTTTCAGTGTAATATTTAAAAATATGTGGGAAGAAAGTACCACAGAAGAAATCACCATGAGAAGTACCTTAGTTTGTTTGGGGAGATTTGTGAGGGATTTTTTTAATCACAGCTTTGCTTAAGCATTTTAAAATATGAGTTGTTAGAATAAGGTTTTTACCACTTTGCCTTGTTAATGTGAGAGTTGTGCTGTGCGTACACACAACACAGTGACTAATCTGGGAACTCTGAAGTAATTTGTATTTTTAAGTTTAAAACTGACTTTTAACACTGCCCTTAGTTGCCCTTCATTATGTCATCTGTCTACTATGTCATACATCTAAAATACATTTTTCAGGGTTTGGAGTCCAGCCAGGAAGAAGCCAGTCTGAGAAGTCAATCTTTGTCTGACTGACAGCTCACCCAGCCTGAAGAGTCAGGCTAGAACCAGTAGCTCTTTTATATGGCTAGCAAGGCCAGTCCTGCCATTAGGCAGAATGAGGCAGCAGAAGCTGTGGGGCAGAGGTAGCTGTTTCCCCTAAGCTCCCTGACCATACTCTGCTGTTGAAGAACAGACCTGGTTGTGCCACATGGCCTGTTTTGCACCCCTATAACATTCCAGTCGCCTCAGGTACAACAGAGGTTTCCCATTGCCAGTACTAAAATAATATTCAACTGCCAGTCTAGACACATAACAACATCAACAACAATAATTTTATTATTTATTCCCCGCCCATCTGGGAAGCTCATGGAATGGGCTGTGTGCCATCATAGAAGAACATAAGGTTATATTCAGTGTAGCGCTAACTCTAAGGTTCCATCAGCACACGGATTTCTCTTGCACAACAAAATGTTCTCCCCCTTTCCTCTCCCCGTGAGCCCACTAAATCTGTTCTGGGTTTCCTCACAACCCTCAGGAGCAGATTTGGAGATGGGGCACATGGAGGATAAGAGGGGACAAAGTCTCATCGCACTTGTGGTAACGCCGTAAACTTTCAGCAGGAAACAGAGAGCGGGGAGTACGATGGTGTTGATTTTCCTGGACAGCTCCTCTGCATTCAAAGTCATGAGCTACAAAGGTAAAAAGGTAAAGGTAAAGGACCCCTGGATGGTTAAGTCAAAGATGACTATGGGGTTGCAGTGCTCATTTCGCTTTCAGGCCGAGAGAGCTGGCATTTGTTCACAGACAGCTTTCCGGGTCATGTGGCCAGCATGATGAAACCACTTCTGGCACAACGGAACACCGTGACAGAAACCAGAGCGCACGGAAGCAACGTTTACCTTCTGACCACAGGAGTACCTATTTATCTACTTGCGCTGGAATGCTTTCAAACTGCTAGGTTGGCAGGAGCTGGGACAGAGCAACGGGAGCTCACTCCATCACAGGGATTCGAACCGCCAACCTTCTGCTTGGCAAGCCCCAAAGGCTCAGTGGTTTAGACCACAGCACCACCCGCATCATCAGCTATAACATCCTTCTAGACCATGTACAAATTGGAGACTGGAAGTGCTGGTTTGTGCAGGTTCTGCTATTATCTGTGCAGAAAGACCATAGAAAGTGATGTTGGCGGGCGGATGGCTCCTCAACTCAGTGGGTTAGCATTCCTCGATGATGCTGAAAATTGCTGACCCAGTTCTGAGTTGAGCTAAGGCAATTTGTGCATCACATTTACCCAGGCTTATTATTTCTAATTGGGAGAGTAGTTAGAGTGTCAGAAGCCTTTGCTGTGCTTGTGCTTTATGTCAGGTGGGTAGGACTTCTTCCTTTTAGCTATATTGTCAGATGATTGTTTTAGTTTGTGTTTATTGCTGTTTTATTTGATTTTAATGACTTGGTTATTTTATTTTTACTGTGTAAGTCACCTTTAAGGCACTTGATTACAAAAATTACACCTAATAATAATAGTACTCTTAAGGGCTAAAATAAAAAGCTGAGAGGTACTGATATATTTTTATTTTTACATAGATTTGCCCTATGCATTGCTAAAGCCAGTTAAAAGAGACTAGAAGCAGCAGCCAGCTGATTGAATGAGGAACAGTAAATATAATTCTGGAGCAGAAGGCTAGTCAATACTTTTTATGTTGAAAAATATGCATTTTATTTTTATGGACTACAAATTTGCATCCATCCGTTCTTTATTGTAACTGACTATATGCATCAGTTGTATGTTGCATTTGATGTGTATATCATTTCAGGGCTGGTTTATTTTTTCTGATTATTGGAAACTGCTTCTGAAATCAATTTCAGTTTTTATAGCTTCTGCTGGGGGGGGGGGAATATTCCAATATAATTTTTCTTTAACAAGGTTATACCCAGCATGACTTCCAGCACTAGAAGTTTCACTCTGTTCTGACATAAAATTATTTGTTTTAATGGTCTTATCCTAGGAAGAGCTGTGCTGGGACAGCAGCCATATAAGGTTGAGTTTCAGGGTGTCTGTATTGAACTACATCACAGTGAGAATTTTAATATTATTTCTCTGCCTTTTTAAAACCTCTTTTGTTTCAGTTCCAGTCCATGAGTTCTTTTCAGTTGTCCTTTTGACTTATTTCTGTTCATACTCAACAGTAACTTTTTCTGCATCTGCTCTCTTATCTTATACACATTTTAACTGCCCACATTTTTTATACCCCTCTTCCCCTAACTAGCCCCACCCCATCACTAAAGGTGGGCAAATCATTCGATTTTGATTTCTCATTTTACAGAACTTAAACTCAGTTCTCCACATTTCTGCATCATTTGCAATTTTTTAAAAAGTCATCATGAAAATTCATCATTTCCCCCAATACACAGGTGCTTGCGTGCAATTTTGCCTAAAATACACATTTTTTTCAAAGCAACGTTGCCTTAGAAAACACATTTTCACTTGTTATTTTTGCTAATATATGCATTCTTATGCACACTTTACCCACGTATGTGCATTTTTGTACACATCAACTGGCTTGAGAACTGCATTGCGAAATCTGGATCAGTGCAAATTTCAATGAATGGCTACGTTTTGGTTCACCTGTTGCTTCAGAAAGTGTAAGTCAAGTTCATCTTCAAATGCAAACTGAATCACATTTCTCCCCTACCCATCAAACACTTTCTTCCCAAATCTTTTCAAAAGATAGTTTCCATATATTAATAAATCTCTAAATTAACCTTCAATGTATGTATGTATGTTGTTGCTTTTTTTTAAAAAAAAAAAGTTGTGTGTGGCAAATTCAGATAAAGAGCATAAATTCCCAACCTATAATCAGTTTCTTTGCAAATTAAGGGAAGCAAGATAAACTCTGCAAGAGATCAGTCTTGGTATATCACAGTCTTAAGAAGTGGGGAAACGATCTGTATACACAAAGCAAGTGTAATCATTACCACATGTGACCAGCTAAACTAAGTTTTGAATCTGTTCTGACAGCTAAATGGTTCTATGTAGGACATAGAACTTTCCATCTTTGTTTGTGTTTAGTTCACATCAATGAATGAAAAGTCATTGGGTACAATTCTCAACAAGCCTGATTTAGGGCTAGTTGATATTACCCTTCGCTAATGACCACATTGCCGGATGCAATCATTGGATGCAATGTTGGATGCAATCATTCAGCGGGGTCCTGCTGTTCTTTATTCAATCTCTGACTCTCCCTCCTGTACAACTGGCAGAACTGACTGGAGAATACACCAAACTAATCTCTCCTTTGCCTTCTTTGATACTGAGTCAGTCAGTCACTTTATTTGTTTACCACTCTTCTGTATACATAAACCACATTCAAGAAG